GAGGCACAGTTCGGCCTTAGAGGTACGCTCTCGGTTGCAATGTTGTGGCTATATTAGACAGGCATTTCAGGCCTCGAATCCGCATTTGATGACGATGGAAAGCTTATACTGACTTACGAAACGAGAACCACGGTGGAGGAACTTCGCTTAGAACTCTCGAAAAGTAGGCAATGTCGTTTGGATGACCAGAGGATTATTTGGTGACAACACTCCGCGGCAGCCCAGCAAGTTGCTGATCTTCTACGCGACAAGTTGCATAGTATGGCTTCCGAGTTGGCCGAAGCGCGATCTCGGGTTTTGGAGCTGGAAGGTCTGGTAGCAGGTGATATGCGATCCGTCGAGAATATCACTTTACAGCTTCAGGATTCCAGTGCGTTAACAACTAATTTAAAACGATGCAACACTAACACGCATCTCAGCGAAGCACATATCAACATTGGTAGGTTATTTGCATGAACAGAGAAATGAGTCTGTCCGTGCTGCGGCGGAGGTATATGAAATGCTGCAGCAACTTAATCATGCGAGTGCACGGTACGTCGTGATGCGTTGCAGCAGAAGTCATTAATTTTGTGGCGTAAAGCGTGAAAGAAGTAGAATCCGAACTCGCGACGATGACACGGCGGTACATTCTTCCATTCCATTCCTCGCTTCGTCATGCTCATATGCTACACAGGTTTTCCGAGTGTCGAGACACTGCAGAGGAACAGAAAGTCCAACTGCATTTACTTCGGAACACAGTTGCCTTCCAAGAAAGTAATTTAAAGGATTTGGAAGCGAGGTGAATCGAAACTCGAATGTCACTCTTGTGCTTTTCTAAACTCTGTTCCCTAAACAAGAGCAGAGAAGGCTAGCGAAGATTTGCGCCAGGCGTTGGGTCAGTCGCGCGAACTGGAAGTCCGATTGGATGCCGCCAAGGACCGTGAGAAGAATCTCCTTGAACAAAACCAGCTCCTTCAATCAGAAAGGGACACCGCCAACCAAACCTTGAGGGCCTTGCAAAATCAGACTGCCGAGGCGCACATGCGCGAACTATCACTGTCTCGTCAGTCGTCGAAGATCACAACCGAGTTGGACATCGTTGTCGCGAAGAACAAAGATTTGGAGCAAGAGGCAAACTTGTATCGCAGAAAGTGAGGCCACCGTCTCCCAGTGTACTATGTACATTCTGAATGACTCCCACGAGACACGTGGAATCTTCAGGCGCTCTTAAGGCATGAGAAATCACTTTCATCTCGTGCTCTTTAAGCTGAGACTAAAGTAGGCACTCCAAAAGCAATTTGATGAGCAATCCGTCGCGCTTGGAAACCTCCAGGTAAACTACTCGAGGTATCAGATATCTGCGAGCGCACTGACGATCAGTAGGAACAACTCCATTCCGCCGAACTGCGCACATCCGTGAGTTTCTATTCCATCCTGTAAGCCCTTCCAAGTAGATGGTCTTTCCAGGAGGTAGCGAGCGACTTCAAAAGCGAAATTGCCTATCTCCGAGAACAGAAAGGGTCGCTAGAAGCTAGGCTTGACACCGCCTTGCGAGAGGGAAATGCCAAATCAGATATGCTAATAGCTTTGCGGACGGAGGCGTCCCGCAAAGAAGGTGCCATTGAAGCCCTGTTACACGAGGAGAAGCAACGAGGAGATGAAGAACGCCGTCAAATCGTGGAGACCGAATCTAAAGTCCAATCACTTCACAGGGAACTCGACCTAAGGAACAAACGGGTACAGGACATGGAAAAGTGCCTGGCAAAACACGCGGATGAAGTGGCAAAACTCACATCACGTGTCGCGGAGTTGGCTGCGACGGAGCAGGCGTTGTCGATTAGGGCAATGACTATTACTCAACGCTACGCGAAGAATGACTTGGTGAATCCCTTCTATTCCTCGGTTTTCCCAGTGGCAACAACAGAACGCATTTCCTTGTAGAACGATGACGAGAAAGCTCTGGTGACGACGCTGATGCAGAAGGCTCGTACTCTCCATGATCGGGAAATAGTGGAGAAAAGCAACGAGATTAAACGGGTAGGTTCGGAATAATATAACTTTCCTGAACAACACTACCGCTTGTGTGTACTCGTAGCGCGATAATCTCATCAAGCAATGTGAAGCAAGGATCTCGCAGCTGGAGCGAAACCTTGCGCGGCGCATTCACGAGGTCAGCTGAGTTGTTTGGGCTACATTCTTCCCATACATTTATCACTACACAGCCACAAATATACTCTACCTCGGAAGTCATCGCTACTCACACCCTAGTAGCAGATAGTCCACTGACAGATCCTGAAACGAAATCTGCAACAGGCCTAGAAGACCAACCCGAGGGCCAGCTTACACTCCCGAAGGCTAATCCCTTTCGTGATGTTCGCTCGTCCAAAGTGCCTATCCATCCCACAATCCTATCAACTTCTCCAAAACAGCTACCAAAGTGTCTGGGCTTCTCCAATCTGGCAACAGAAAGCAACGATAATTCCGAGTCGCCCCGTGGCAACCACCTTCTCGACACGCCTGTCCATCCTGTCGCCACACCGACTTCATCGAAACAACTAGCAGGTAGTCTGAGCTTTTCCGAACTAACAACCGAAAACGACAATAGCGCCAGATGTGGCGAAGGATGCCTACCAATGAGCAGCAAGCGTGCTACGTTTGCGGAAGGCGGAATTGAAGCATCGACGTCAAGGCCGGCCCGTCGTCGGGTGAGTAATTCCCACTGCAACGACAGTACCAGCGGATTTGAAACCATGTCTTTCGTTCCTAGAGGTGTTCTAAACCAACTGAAGGTGACAAATCGGTGGACAAGGTTAGCGTGTAGTGCATCCAAACAAGGCAGTTCCACTGTTGATTGTTGGGTTTCTCCCTTTAGGTTCCCCAACCGACGGCGAAGAAAAAGGCCACGAAAAGACGATAAAGCAATTCGCTGTTTATTTTTCCAGCCTATCCCTGACACACGTTACCATCTCTGATCAAGTATGCAGAGACTCCACGTGATGAAAACCTAGTGTGCTCATGGCGACGATAACGATGGATTACAATGTACAACTCTACAGGAATTGCCTCTGCTCTCTTGGAACAATTCTAGGGAATGCGACACGTAGGTAGAAGGCGACATGAAGAGGAAGCACGAGTATTGTATTCTTACATAAGCACCGTATGCGAACCATGGAGTATGTCCTCATAATGAAATTCTGGTGAATGGACTTCATACATCGCTAAATTCGTCGGACAGCTTCGCCCAGCGCACGATGCTCGATGACAGACTAAGGAAGGCAACCGCTACTTCGACCGATGAAAATTTGAACACCCCATAAGGACGTCAGGCACTGAGGCACCACGAAACATAAACAACTAAACGCGGGTCATATGTACGTCGTGGATGCTCGTCCCGCGTTATAAAGCAATATGTCGACGAGAGTTAGTAAGAGCTGCTGTCCTCTGATACATGTCATTAGAATTACCAGAGAGTCAACATGGACCGCCTTCCACCCCCACCTTACGTAGTTTCCAAGGAAGTGCTTATTTCTACTGATTAGTACCTACATACACTTAAAACGGTCGACTGTAAGGTGTGTATCGACCTGACCATCCAGCGCGGGTGAGGCAGAGTAATAGTGGCCTCACGTCCGAGGATGATAGCAACTGAACCGCCTGCTTTGGCTGGAGAAGCAGAGATAAGCCGACTCGATACGGTAGAAGAGTGTATACCGTGCGCAGCAACTCGCACGGTTGGCTTTCGACCATGGCAACCCGATAATAGATGACGGTTTTGGTTTTTTTGTTCCTCTCTTTCCTTGCAGTAGTATTTCACCCGAACACGCTCATGTGAAGGCATAGGATCGCTAAACCTGACCGAAAGGTAGCAGTACATCTGATTATCTGGATCTAGGGCCAACGTGTCAGATCATGTAAGAAATCATGTATCTCTACCATTTGCATTAGTGTTACAGAACCGCTGAGGATGGGTTTGGTTCTCCCCTGGCCCATTCCCGTATCGTAAGTGTTGACAAGAACATCTCTGTTGGAAGCCGACGTCCAGACTGTGAGGATCTGTCGTGGTGAGGCCGCTGGTTCCGTTGGACTGATTGGTATCAAAAGGCAGTCAGCAGGACATTCTGCACTAGGTTTCTTCGTCAAGAAAAAAAAGCTGCACCGGACCTCCAGAAGTCAATGGTGTTGGCACGACGTCTTCGAGCCTTCTACTTGGTGGGTAGTACCGCGGCAGCTCCTGCTCTTGGTTGCAGATAATTCTACTGCCACCTGATTGGTTGTTTGGCTGCGTCGCACGTCTGAACGTGTTAGATTTAGCCCCGGCGACCGGACGATGCAGTCAATGATAAACCATACGTCGATGCGGTCGAGTCAATGCACTGCGTGTCGCATTATCGCTTGCAAGCACCTCCGAATCATTGGAGCTCATTAGTAGTTTGGTCTATTCCAGACAAAACATGGGAAAGATAGTTAGTTTCCAAAATCCAAGTCGTCAATGTGAGAGTAGGGGAGAATATGTGTGTGAGGATCGCGTCCCAAGTACTCAAGTACTCAAGTCTTTGGCACTAGACCTTCGTTCACCGAGGGGTATTGTTGAGGCCGTAAGCCGAGACCACGCCCGAACAAAGAAATAGAGCAACGCCCGAAGGCGGGGTGGATGCGGCCATATCCCCAAAGGGGAGAAAACTACACATAGCGGGGGCAAGGGCGGACGGGCCCCAACAACGAACAGAGATATCAAATATACAACATAGATAAAAGGTAGCTACCGAATGGGAATAGATCCCCATGAGACGAGTTACCTCGTCGCCCCGCACGGTTCATCAGCAAATCATAAGTCTGCTTAACCGTGCTTGACCACTTAGCAGCACCTGTCAAGCACGTAAGTAGCATAAGCATGTTAAGCACCCACATTGCCAAGCATGCATGACCGCTAAGTAACTTGGCGAATGTTTAAGTGTGACTCAAGTAGATAAGCATCCCAAGCAGCTAAGTTACTATGGAATTTGAGCATACAATCAAGTACACTACAAGTATGAATCTGATAAAAGCGAAAATGCATGATGATCGATAAATCTGTTCACGTAGAAGGTGGTAAATGCGTCGTAAGAATGATGCGGCTTTATGGTTCTGGGAATGGGGTGGGTGCCATACAAGGGGATGAGGTGTGCCGCACGATATATGGTGTCTACGTGTATGACAGCGGTGGCCGGGTGATGATTTGCAGTAAGGGCCGGGCGTATGATCCACATCCCCGTATCCACATCTGGGTCATCCCTGACACAGTCAAACCACTGCACTACTGCACATGGGTAACACTTGCTTTGGGAAACGAAGGAAAAAAACCCAAGGATATGCACGACATCCAAACCATGCATCCCCTTCAGCCCTGGATTAGTATTCACAAATGCACAGTCATACCGGGGTGGCCCATTCTGCCACGAATGACACGAGCAGATATACTCACGCTGCATGCCACCAATACCACTGATATCACTTGGCGCATAGAATAGTGCAGCTGCAGAATTAACGACGGTGATTTTGTTGCCATAGATGGGGCGCTCAGATAGTGGGATGTCACAGAGATCGCAGTAGTCTTCAGCGTTGGCTTGTTGAAGCAGGAACTCCTCCAGAATGGTAGGGAGACATGATAGACTGAGCTCGATTGCAAGATCTGTCACGGTTCTGGCCCACTTCATTTCTAATGCAAGAGGTTGATTTTGTGAGCTGCTGCACTACTCAGGTTAATAAGGTACATATGGGTGGTGCGAGCGAGTTCAACATGTGCCTCTATGGATGTTGGGCAGTCCACAGCCTCACCATTGTCTTCATTATGGGGACCGGAACCTAGGACCTGTGATGTACCACCATTCTCTCTGCCATCTGTTTACTTCATGTGAATATGATGAAAATCAATATGATTGTCCAATGACCGACCTTGAGTCGAAAGGAGCTGCATAGTTGCCATGAGGCAGTTTCCCTCTAGCATCCCTCGTTCATTGAAATCCCTTCGAGAGGCTGCCAACTTATCTAAGTGCTGATTGATAATGAGCATTTGGCCCAGTGGCTTGTTACAATTGGTCTGCCGGTATGGGTCCTTCACAGCATCGATATGCTTTGATTCGGTGATTGATGTGCAAAGTCCGTTTGGCGCCCCAAATAAATGTATAAGATCAGGGTAGTGTTTCATCACATGCTGGTGTGGTAAGCAAAAAGTTTGAATGGTACCTGATTGGTGAAATATTTCCCGGTACTTGTGAAAGCGGTCGATGGTATCTTGAACTGCAACCAAGGTTTCTTCAGTGAGGACATTGCAACAGACCAGGTATGTGAACTCCAACAAAGTGCGAAATGTTTGCACAATCTCCATTGGTACATGCCCCTCAATGGCAGGTAGATACACCTATGTATCGAATGTTAACGACAGACTGTATAAACAACCTGATCTAAAATTACCTTCATTAGTGCCTTTGAGTCGTTACCAGTCCACTGTTTGAAATGATGGCCCTCAGGAAAGCGACGGAGCCCTGCAAAAGGTGTGACGGCTGCGATTCTAAGGTATCCTACATGAGGAAAGAAAGAAATGTAAATTAAAGCAGATGTACCTCCGGTCAATATCATCTAAGATCACATTCGCCTTTGTTGTGCCATGCACGGTCTTCAAATAGCTTTCAACCCACTCGACCAAATGATCCTTGAACGTCCCTTTGATGATCTGGTGTAGTATATCAGGGGCGATGAGTTGGTATATATCGGCATGGGGAAAACTGCTGGTGAACGGCTGAAATCGGTTTTCAGGACACAGGCACAGTGGAATCTAAGTGAAACAATACTTACAATTGTATCACCCACAATGCCATATGCATCCCGTAAGGTCTTGAGATCAAACTCCTCGATCAGTGCTTCTGCATGTTCACGACTCCGATAAAGTGCATCAGTATCAAGTTCCTGCCTCATCGCAAGACATCTGAGATTCTAGTTAGTTGACAGTAAGAGTTGGAAAGTAGAAAAACATACTTTGCACACCACCCTTGCACAATACATGCCAGAAGGACTTGTTCCTCATAATCAGCAATATAAGGGCTGAGTCCAAAAATTACGCGGCGATAGTGTCCATCACCGAACCACATAACAGTTGGTTTGGTCATCGCAGGCTTGAGATTTCGAAGGATATATGTGAGTGACAAATGAAAGAGTTGGTGGCGGAATTGTTGGAACGTGTCAGTGGACGCATGCTCTTTGTCAGCTACAAGTATATCTCTCATTAGTGCCATTACTTTCCTATGTATCTATCAGATGCACTTACTATGTGGGATTGCAAGGAAAGCGATGAGAGTGACACTATTGTGATGTGCACGACGAACTTTGTTGCTCATGTTACCTATTGAGAGGTAGAGGGGATAATAATCATTTTGACTGGTTGCAACTGACACAGTCATCTTGTCACTGCCAAGGATGATTGGAATGAAGGTTGACCCATGCATGGTTGAATCACGAGAAATTATGTCCTGTTATTTGCATGCCATTAGTACAGCACTCAGAGACATAGAAGATAAAAGACGCACTGCTTGAGTCCACACCCAATCACCAGACATGAAATCCTCCCACTGTCTCTTGTCCATTGTGCTCTCATATTCCCGAAACAGCCGGTAATCCATGTCTCTTGAAAAATCAGGTCGGGAAAGCATATTGCAAATAACATCTTTAGGGTCCTGGAACCAAATATCGTATGCAGCGTTCATCCATGACGGGACATTATCAGTTGGTTGTTTGCTGGTATAGGATATGCAAAAATTCTCCCACTGTACATCACCAAGTATAGTGCGATCGATCATCTTGTACATTTCAGTGCTATCTTTGAAGACAGGCTGGCTGCCAGTGCCGAGAAGTGTCACATTCCAGAGATCTAGTAACTTGTTAATATTGGCTGCAGACATCTGGCTGCGGGTGAACAGGAAGTCAGCTAGCTCGAACTCCAGACGACTGGAGTATGGTGACCAATCGTTAGGTTGCTTTTCAGAAGGAGTTTGCAGGGATGACTGTCCAACTGGGAGGGGGTTTCCAGACGAATCACAAGGCTGCCCTGTCAAATAATACATTGGTAAATACTTAATTTTTCACCCATACTGGATACCGGTGAGGTTTGGGTGATAGTTCCAATAATACTTGTCACCTTGTCCAACAAACTCTGCCAGAAGGGTTGGATCCGAAGGGCTTGTGGATGGGTCACTATAGCCGTTGTCGTCCAGTCAGAACTGGAATTGTTCCTCTTCAGGCGATGGTACCTGATCTGGCTGTTCTACCTGCGTGGGGATGTTGATAGGCAGAAATACTGGGTGGTATACGTTGATGTGCTGGGTTAGGCCCAACTTGTTTCTGAACCATCGACGGCAGCCAGGTTTCGTGCAGGGAATCATATCTGAAAGAAAAATGATGAGTAACAGGAGTTACTGTGGGACAGCAAAGATTTGCCGACTGAACATAGAATCGAACTAAGCCAAAAGAGACGGCAGTGGGCATACCTTTTTTTCTTCTGTCTCTTCGTCTTCCACCTTCACGCACAGCCAATGACCCTTTGCACTGCAAGATATGGACAACCAACTGGCCGTGGAGTGCCCACAGGAGACACTTGCGAGTGGTCGCCCGAAGCGCCAGGTGGCTGACGTGCATCCCAGTAGGATCATCCTCGACAGCCAACCGAGAAGACAGATGAGCACGGAGAAGGAAGCTAACAATGAACGCACCTGGGAAGCCCTTGCCAAAAAGGTTGCAGTGCTGAAGAGAGGTTATCAACGGATCGGCAAAATCAAGGATGAAATGGAGGTCAACCAAAGTGGTGTCGCTGCCAGCGCTAAGCCCATCAAGCCGTGTCCTCATCCTCGTCCTCGTCCTCGTCCTCATGCTGTTGGCAGGCAAAGAAATGAGAGTGATGGCGGTATCTATCATGCTTAACCAAGAAAACATGAGGCTGATTTTTTTTGTAGGGATGAATGAGCCACTTACCCCCCTAGCTGATGTGGAAGACAATGCTGGACCTGTAGTGATGAAGGGGAAAGGGACAAAAGCAGCAAAGGCAAAATCGCTGCATGAAGCGATAATCTCCACACGCAACAAAGTATCCCTGCCATCAACACGTGACAATAGCATCGGCGCTAGTACTGGTTTGATGTGCATCTTACTTCTTAACATGTTCCTCCTAACTGAGGCAACTCTTTTCTTTGCGAATGTCCTAACGACTGCCAGCTCTGATGATAAACTGACTTTATCTAAGCATGTCAAAAATTGGGTGAACATTGTCGACACAAGCTCTACACAATCTTTGAGTGCCAGTGCCAGTCCTCACACATCAGCTGCACCACCTCCATCCACGAGTACCCTCGCTACAAGTACTACCAATGTCGAGTTCCATGTATTCAATCTTGGCTCTCCACTGCCAAATGATCCCCAATACAACTACGAGTTCAAATCCCAACTACCAGAAAACTTTGACTTGCTACCTGATCGCAAAGATGGAGAAGCTAGCAGGCCAGTGAGACCTCTGGCTTTGGACGTCCCCGCTCTTCAAAATGTTATCATTGAGTATCTTTCATGCTGAAACGGTTTTTACTCATGCAATGGTAGTCTCAGTGCGCTGCCACAATGGCTGAGGAGTATGAGGCCAATGATCCTGCCACCAGACTCGCCAACATCAAGAGGAAAGTAGCCGAGTTGGAATACGTCTCGACCTCTGAGGTTGAGGGCGACGCCGTCGATGATAACTGTGACAATCTAGACGATACCATCTGTGTTTTGGGGCACAAGAATGCCATGGCCAAGGTATGTGCTGACCACCTTTCTCTGTGTTCCTTCATCTTTTATTTTCTTTCAGTCGCGTGTCATGGTTACAAAGGGCATGCCAAAGAAGATCAAGATACAAGCTTGCAACTCTATGTCCAGCTTATCAGCCACATCTACTAGCAAGAAATCTATCGTAGCAAGCGATTCGTCGAGTCAAGTGCAGACCATCCCTGTGCAAGTGCGTTTCAACAATTCGGATCTCCCCTCAGATCTGCATAAAGATCAGAAGTGGAAGAGGGAAGTTATTCTGACGCTAATCCTATGGGCCAGAAACCAAGAGGATGCATTCAACATCGCCAAGCAAGATATTTGCGGGGCTCTACAGGAGATCATGCCAGTCATATACCCCATACTCAAGAACACGGCAGGTAGCATTCTTCCCAGCTCACCCATGGTTTCTGTCGTAAGTCCATTTCATTCTGACTTCATCTGTAGCTGACCGTGTTTGCCATAGGCATCTCAACGCTTGTGTGATTGGAGGCACGGCTTTGCCTCCACAGCTGTTGTGCAACTCGTAGCTTTCTTCCTCAATCCTCAAGACCCATCGCCTGCCGACACTGCAAAAGTATTACTTGATCATTTCACATTCTTATATGAAGACCTCAACACGACTGTTCCTGAGAAGGCCTTCCGCTCTGTTTTTGTGCAACAGCTGCTGCTGAGCAGCCATTTGACTGCAACCAAAGGATACGTTCAAGTCCCTGCTCTTGACACTTCATCTTTGGCGAAGCATGGTGTTGTTGGTGCTCTTGGACTTTGTGCTGCTGTGGTAACATTTATCAAGTCATTTTCATAGCTACAGTATTGATTAGTTTTTTAGCTCTCATGTGGCTTGAACCTCGTTAGATCTGGTGACATCGAGCTCAAGTCCCCCATCAATGTCAAAGATGGTATTGCCAAAGTGGCAACGAGGTTTGTGCGGACCCCCGTCAAATACAACATGGCTTCGGGCAAGGATAGCAAGACTGCGTGCGCATTTTCAGACCAGAATTGGGGAGCCCCAACGAGGAAGTTTACGGGGGCCGCCAAAAGAAGATCTATTGCTCAGCTTCAAGCCATTGTAGAGCTCGCCCTTGCTTCACTTGCAATAGGGCAAGAACTCGACCCCGAGCTGTTGAGTGATGCAGGATCTGATGACGAGTATGCACTTATCTGTAGGTTTTCATTCCCTACTGCTTATACAATCCACTAAGTCCACAACAGGATCTCTAATACATCTTCCCAATTGCTATCGCTAGTTCGTCTATGTTTTTCAATCCCTCGATCTTACTGCCGCATAATTTACTTCACTGCTACTTAGCATGTGCTTAGCGGATATTAATTGCACTTTGTTGCTGCTTATCTGCTTGATGGAACAGAACCAGCATTATTTCGAGTAAGAAACTAATAAGCTAAGCACGCATTAAGTAAAAAATAAGCAGTGCTAAGTAAGTATCCAGCAGAAGGATCTACTTATCCAAGCAGACGGCTGCTTGGCAGTTGGTATGATAAGCAAATGTTAAGTAGCTGTCAAGTAAGGATAAGTAAACTCGTGATTTGCTGATGTTGTCTGATTGTATCATTCTCGAGTAACACCACACGCGCCCAGCTCCAGATCTCTGCCTGAAAGAGTCATAGCCAGTTAGCCGCACACCTCGTTCCTAAGAGGTATATATGCATGTAATAAGGCTGGTCTGTCGGCCACGCTCGCTTTCCGTTGAACACTTGCAGCCAAGCTTCAGGTACATTACGTAACCATGTTTTCCCGGAGCTGGCAGACTCATGAGGCACATCGTCTGCATCGAACGTGGGCCTGGATTACTTGAGTATCCGTCGCTCCGGCCACCGTGGGTATGTCAGCGGAAGGTGTCAACCTCCAGGACCCGGTATATGTACCTACTTCGGTCGTGAGGTCCTTGAGCAAGTAAATCCGACTCAGGGTATCAAATTGACTCCCCTGTTATAATCGCCACCGCCAGCCTCTTGGAACGCGTGCGTACTGGCCCCCGTTGAGTCCGCCCCAGAGCAAACCACAATGCTGCAGTCCCCCCCACATCCGGAAATTTACATCGCCTCTCTCATACCTCGCGCGTCCCTGAATATACTTTGGAGACTGCCCTGGCGTCAATGGACTCTTTTGAAGGAGAACTTGTACGGGCTTTAACGTCGCTTTAAACCTAAAATGCCGGAAATTCCCGTTGTGAAACACCCGGTTCAAACCACGTTCTTTCGGAGTCAGTAGGTTCATTTGAGAATGATGACTTGCTGTCCCTTCATTTTAGGCTCATCCGCTCCTCTCCTGGCAGTGATATTTCGCACATAAAATCATTGACTTCGGTATACATTCGCGCTAGTAGGAGATGATGCCGTTGGTATTGCCTGCGCATACTATCATTTCCGGTCTGGACGTGGCCCGCGAGGTATCCTGGTAGCTCTGTCTGCTCCTGTCCCACAAGCAACAGGTAGTGTCAACGATCCCGCCCAATCGCTGCACGCAAGTAGCCATCTATCTACTGGTCAGCAATAAGTATTTTCCAACGTGCGACGACACTCACGATGCGGAACGTGTATCTGTGGCTAGTAGGTGCTCGAATTCTTCCAATGAAACTGATTTAAGATTGGATGACTGATGCGCCACAACCCACACTACTGTCATGGTGTTTTGGGAATCTAGCAGAAGGGGCTCTCGACAAACGCTGTTTGTTCTTGTGATCCGACTGACGATACCACACTTCTGATCAGCAGCTGCGCTGCAACGCGAGGAAAATGCTGATCTAGTATTATTTTCCATCTGCAATGTTTGTCAACCGCTTTCCCGTGCCCTCCATGCACCACTCCCAACAAAGGTGTTATCACAAACCTCTTCTCCTAGCGACCCAACTGCGGATTGCAACTGCTATGGTAGTTCTGATAACATCGCAACACATCCCACAACCATTGCAAACGACGAGCATCTAAGCGCGGTTGGTTGGGGGTTTCTACCCTGGTTGATACTGTCGTAAGCCTCCGGGCCGTAAATTCATCTGAACCAACTTTACAAATGGCTGGTACTGCTCCTCGAGTTGTTCTTGATGGCTGACTAGCACGCTGTAGAATGCTGCACTGATAGGTCCAGCCTTGAGTCCTATTCAACGTCGCTGCCAGGCTCTCGGACGCACATCGCGTGGTACCAACCAATGGCGAGTGAGACAGATCGGCGAAGACATTCGTAGGTTAACGAGAGGTTGACTTTGTATGTGACAGCTGATGACCTACCGCAACCAACTGTATTGAAGTCGATCCCGTATCTCAGAATTGACCTTGTGCGAGTGGTCGAATGTGTCGCAACGGAGCCCAGGCGGTCTGATTAAGTCCTCTCGCCGTAATGTGGACGTATGAAAATGCGAACCATGTGGTGCAGTCGGTTACGTACCCGCAGGAAACACGAACAGACAGGGGTGGACGTCATGATTGCGACCCCCTCGAGGGATACAGCAACGGCAAGTACATAATGGCGTATTGCGATTGAGATTGATCGGGGGACATAACGCGCGGAAGGAGGTTTTGATTTGATTTTGGTGAGACGAGGGTTTCATTCATGTCAAATTTTAAAGAATTACAA